TGTTGTTGTTGTTGTTGTTGTTGTTGTTGTTGTTGTTGTTGTTGTTGTTGTTGTTGTTGTTGTTCCTCCTCCTGCTCTTTCCTTTTCTTTCATGTTCTACTTGCTGTTTTTCCCCATCAGGCAGACTGAGTGGAGAAGTGATCTTTGATTGGCATGATGGGCCTTGAGATTCTTGTCCCTCACATGGAACAACACTTTTTAGGTAAAGCTTCTTAGGCCGGCCCACCCCCCATTTTCTTTAAAGTTCTAGTTATTCTTTTTCCACTTCCTTTAGGCTTTTCCCTCTGTGTACTTTTTTTTATGTGCTTACAAGACAACAGCATTTTTATGAGTTCTGTCTAACTTTTTGAAGCATTTGAGGATTGCAAAGGGAAGCAGCAGTTGTACCTAATATGAAGAATGCATAACCCATTACTCCAGTTTTGGGATGTGGCCTTTGAACGGACATATACAAAGGAAACAAATTAACAACAAACACAAAAGTATTCATTTATAAAGAAAAACATGAAGGTGAAAGAAATTTTTACTTTTCACTGGTATAAAATGTAGCTTAATCGGCTCTACAACAGCCTTATTCCCACCAGCGCCTGCAGCCTACTAAGCAGAAACTTCAGATCAAACTCTATTCTAGACAAAATTCTGCTTGGAATTTCAAGGCCTTACAACATAATCTTGGAAAGCTACAGTCATTAGGACAAGATAATCCAAGGAAAATTATGCCAGGCCTGAGATGACTTGAGAGTATATCAAGGGAAAGCCAAGTGGGTGGGCCAGATGATGAGTGGGAGCATGTGTGAGAGAAGAAGATTTCAGTCTAGATGCTTAACGCAGAGAAAATACCCTTGGGTGGTAAGAAGAGAGAAGGTGCACTTAGGTCCATAGGTGAGAAAGAGTACTGAAGTAAGCTGGCGACAGAAAGACCATCTCTGTTGGTGTGTGGTTGAGTGCATGAGCAGAGAGTAGGAATACCTAGGGTGTTTTTTTTTTAAGCAGAAGACATGATGGAGAGGATTAGCACTAATGCTGAAACTATTGTTAGAGCTCAAGTCTAGACATTCAAACCACAGAAGTCCTGCTCCACTTTCTGTTGCATTTGCATAGTTTGGAAGAGCCACTGCAGCAATGTATGAACGAAGCCTTTCTAACAGGTTTGCAAAATAAAACAAAAACAACCTCTAGTAGTTAAAGCCAATGCCAGGCAAGTTCCCTAATGTACAAACTTAGACTGCACTCAGATCTGTGGAATGAGCCTTAATTAATGCTTTCTGTTGGGTAGTAGTATATAATCAATGTCTCTCAGAGGATCACTTTCTAGCGGGCTAAGGCTAGTAACCTTTTCTCAGTACAGTATATCAGTGTACAGCAAGAGAGACAAAGATATTGCATCTCCGTGCTGCATCTCCCTACCTCCAAAAATTTGTGCTTTGCCCCCAGATTCCTGAATCACCTGCTATGGGAAATGGGTGAGATTGCCCCTTTTTCTGATGTAAGGACTTAGAAGTAGGAGTGCATCACTAATACTGCAGGATGAGTAGAGGAAATTTTGCAGCTGGCAAGAGATAAGATTTCTCAATCACAGTTAACATTTGCTGCATGCGACTACCAAAAACTGTAATGTATTGTTAAGAAATATATAATTTGAAGCATTTTAATGTATATTTCACTTCTCCAAAGAAAACATTTAGGTTATAGACAATATACAATGCATTTTTGAACAACACCCTGCTCAGCCATAAAACACATGGCATTTAAACAGAAAGTCCCAGGTTCAGTTCTGTTGGAAACTTTGGAAAGCTGCAGAGTGGCTTGAGAATTAGTGACCAGAGCCTATAAGTGAGGCAAGGCTACACTTTTACAGCCAAAATCTTGAAACCTGTTTTGTTACATGCATGTCAGTTTAACTTCAGAGAGGCTTGATGAGTATTTGTTGTGATGTAAGCATACAATTATCTGACAGCAGAGACCTCTCGTTTTTGTTTTTTGCTTATTGCCATACTCTTCTGGCATTTTGAAATTATACTACCATAAATTTGCCACACACAGGCTTAAAGCATTTGTCAGTGAAAGTAATGTCAGAAATGGATTCCTTGACTCTACATTAGCCAACTACATTCCTGAGCCAAAGGTCCAGACTCAGTCAGGACACATCCAGAGCCTGGAACAATTTCTTTTTTGGATGACAACTCTGAGAATCCCCCAGCCAGCATGGCCCTTGGGGTGTTCTTGGAACTGTGTTCCAAGAAAAGTAACTGTTCCTAGCTCTGCAAATCCATTGTTAAATGGAGTGCTTACTTAGAGAGGATGCTGTACTGAAAAATAATGGGAAGTATTTATTTCGTTCTGCAGATGCAAAGCACACAGCCAGCCAAAAGGAAGAGAGCCACAGGCAGGCAGACACATGCACACCCACAGAAGGCTAGTTTCCTATTGCTTTTACCACTCAGTAATATGTGAGAGATCAGGAGAGGAGAAGCACTCATTGTCTTTACTGGGAAAGCTATCGGTGAATCTGTAGCAAGCCTGCTATTGTGCCGATCTCTGTGAAGAGAAATCTGGCTGAGCTGGGGGCACAAACAAGGGGCCATTCATATCCTGGCCACTGCAACTGTTGTACCACAAACACAAGCAGCAGGAATGCAAATAGCAGCACCAGCTTAGGACCAAGCCAGCCCCAATATGCTGCTAAACATGTTAGCCCCAGAGAAAGAAATGCCATCTCAACCAGCATCACAGCACCAAAGAGAGATAACTCTCTTACTAAATGTAAAGCAAGGAAGTATCCTCAGGAAAATGTTTGCTACTCAGTCACAAAATGTGTTCCTATATAATCCAGCAGCAAACAACAATGGGTCACATCCAACATCCAAGGAAAATTAACTTCCCCCCTCTACTGAGAGCATATCAACTCCTGTGGGGACTATAGCAAGGTTCAACCAGTGTTCAGCCACCAAAAATGAAGACATTTCACAATTCCACACTAGCAAAAAAAATAGACATTGCTATTTACAGAACTGGTGTTATAAATGTGAAGACAGGATTACAACTGAATGGCCAATGCCTGGTGAAATTTCAGAAGCTGGAAGAAATGTGGAACAGCTACACAACATTTCCACTGGCCAGATGATGACATTTTAATGACCAGCACAGCACCATATACAGATCACTTTGCTGAAGAGTATGAGTTGCATACTTTTCTGCTGCACCCAATTTAATTAATCTGTATAGTTTCCCAAAGTCCAAGTTTTGTTACAGTACATAAAATTGGTACAGTTCTTTCTTTCCTTTTAAAATTAGTGGACAAACAGGACCCTTGACAAAAATGATGAAAAATAAAGTCAGGCGGGGGGACAGGAATCGCAAGATAGACTTCAGTATTGCATAAGAAGAATATAGTATGTCTGCCCCCTATTAACCTATTTGTGAAGCCCACAATAGGTGAGCATATGCCAATCCTTCAGTCTAGTCTACTGCATTGATCTGTACTAAGGAAAAATGAGTTAAGCTTTTTCTTCAAGCCACTCTTCTCCCTCAGTCCATTTCAGGATATTGTGCAGATCTCATCACTTGAAAGTTGTCAGGTTTTTGGGTTTTTTTGCTTGTTTGTTTGTTTTTGTTTTTTGGTCCTACTTGCCATACCCCAATCAGCATTTTATAGCATCCTTCCTGATGTAGAGATTTGGAGATCTCAAAAGCTTGCATAGACCTCTGTGCTCTTTTGGTAAATAAAGGTAAAATTAATAAAGCTAATAAATATATTGCAGTAATATGGGGTTTAAATAAAAAGGGTATACCTTGTGCCCTTCTGATTGATCTAATAAAGTCATCTTTCTGGTGTCTAGTGAGTGTAAGTGGAACCGACTTAATAGTTCCTTCTTGTGATGACTCTGCCAGACCAAGGAAAGCAATTTTCAAAAAGAATATATACAATGACATGCTGAATCCTTCTATAGCAACAGTGGTAGGAAGATGCTCTGGAACCCAGCAATGGATGCTTTCAGCTCATCATTGTATTTTTAAAAGCCACTTTCAAAACTATGCTCTTAAGTAAGACTTACCAGTATAGCCCTCTTGGCATTCACAAGTATATCCTCCTTCCCGGCTTCGGCAGCGCCCGTTGTTGCCACAGGGGTTAGAATAGCATAGGTCAATCTCAGTCTCACAATAGTCGCCAGTGAAGCCAAGTGGACAGCGACAGCGCAAACCATTGACCGGGTGGATGGGCCGGAAAAGAATGGTGTCAGACGCAATGAAGGGTGCTGAGCTGTCAAACTTTAGCACTGAGACACAGCGCATGTAATTCTCACAGGGTTCCCGCAGGCAAATGTTGTCATCAAAGGGCAGAACCCGCTGCTCCGAAATGGCAGCTAGGAGTGTGCGATTGAGGTACAGACGCTCCTGTAGATCTTCTGAAGGAATATAACGTCCTCCTTGGGCTCCATCAGGAAGCAAGACAGACAGACTGACATTAAGGATCTGAGCAGCCTGCACATCAGTGTCATTCTGAATGTTGAAAAGGACAACGTGGTCACGGGTAACAGACAGCACAGTTGCGACTCCTTCAAGAAGGAGGGCCAGGAGTGGTGAAAGGAAACGTTCCTGGGACATGTTCTCCAGTCGCAGTGTGATACTGTTCGTCAGCATCTCATCTGTGATAATGGTCACCTGGAGTGTACACTGGGCAGCTACGCTGTGGATGCCATCTGCAGAAAAGTAGGAAAGAGTCAATGCTATTTTCAAAGTACACAGAATAAGAGAGTAAAGAGGCCAGCTTGTTGCATTCAGAAACCTCTACAAGGAGATTAACTTCCATCTCAAATGGTAAGCGCAAGACCAAACAGGACTGGCATCCGCTATAGCTAAAAAAGTCAGATGTACAACAAACCATCTGCTCTTCTCCTTCGGTGTTGCATTGTACTGTAACATAATCAGCAGCTGTTAATGTTACATTTTGGACTACAGTTCCCCAAAACCTACACCCAGTGTGGCGATTGGCCACACTTACTGGAGGGTTCTAATACTAGTGTTGAAAAAGTAATTCTTCCAAGCTGTGATTGCATTGTATAAACCAATTCTATGTATTCAGCTTGGTTACTCTTGATCCATAAAGGACCCTTACGTTTCTACTCCATCAACATGGAAGGGAAATTGAAAAAGCTAGGTAGCAATAATGAAACAGACCAAATCCCAAAGGAATGACTGTGTAAGTATACTACAGCAAAAACAATGAAAAATCCTCTTGAATCTTTAAAGATTAGCACATTTGTTATTCCATAAGTTTTTGTGTACTACACAACCTCTTTCATTAAATGCATGAAGCACTGTGCAGGGTTTCTAGTATAAATACAGTAGACACAGTTACACATGGAGTGGGGGAAACTGTACAAAGCAAAGTCAGTGCAATCAGCCATTCACAAAATCAACATTTGTGTTATCAGCATACTGGAAAACATATTGGAAGAATGTTCCCCCAAATCCTAGGCAACAGTTTGCCTCCAGAGCATTTTGCTGCAAATCTGTAAACATTTGAGTGCCTTTCAAATATTTCAAGAATTTTAACAAGTGAAAATGAGGTGAACTGCCCTTAGCTGTATCATATGATACAATACAGTAAAATTACTTTTGAAAACACCAGATTGCTCAAAGAATGTATTCTAGGAAGAATACTGTGATAGCCATTTATACTACTATTCCATTTCCACTTCATGCTGTACCAACTGAATCCTGCTATATAATCTGTGGTTCTCCACCCCTTGAAGAAGTCAGGTTCATTAACAGAGAACATCGAGGTAAGGGGTAAAGAAGCAGTTTTCCTGAGTTCCTCTGTGGCACAACCAGAAACAGGGCCCAGGTGTAGTTTTCCTATTCCTAGCCCAAATCTTCACCTGTCCTAAGACATTAAATTTGAGACTTTTCTTTCAATGTAGTTTCAGATACAGTTATAGGTCAGAAATCTGTTCATGCCATGGCATGAACTTCACTCATAGACAAAAGAAATGTGACTGCACTGTTTCTCCTGAGCTACATGACTGCATCTGACACTATCCATCATGCCATCCTTCAAAGATGACTGCCAATGCTAGATCATTCTGGCATCATTTGGCGGCAGCTTCAGTCTTGCCTTCTAGCTATATGGCAAATGTACCCATATTTTAACAACTGGGATGACATATGCTAATTGACAGTCCATGACAATGTCCTTTCTCTGTTTATTTAGTTATTTTAATTTTCAAATATGCTGCCTTTCTCCCAGAACTGGGATCAAATTTTTTTGTTTCATTAAAATACAAGATATAAATATTAAAATAGAAGTAAATACATTATAATATTCCAGTTAAGGCAAAACACTTTAAAATCTCTTAATTTAAATACTAATGATTTCTTACCTCAGAAAGGGAAAAGAAAACCAGCACATCAACTAAAATCCTTTTATTAGAGCGGTGTTGCTTGCTGAAAGCCTGCTGAAATGCAATGATCCCTGCCTGCCAGAAGAACAGCAAGGAGAAGGCAAGCCTAAACTTTTTTTTTTTGCTAAAGGCTACCAAAGCCTGAGAATGACTACAAAGAAGCCCCTGTCCTGAGTACCCACCAGGAGAGCCCCTAAAGGTAATGAAACCAAAGAAGGGCCTCTTTAGCAGGCCTCAAAGCCCAGGGATGCTTATATACAGTAGGACAAAACATTATTTCAAATATTCTGGGCCCAAACATACTTGTAAACAGAACAGTAAACAGTGAAACTGTCTGCCATACAAGTGGGTGAGACTATCATGTCAGTTGGCTTTGGTTTTTTTAGAATTTGCTAATAGTATTTGCTTCCTCTGCACAGAAAGAAAAATAACTAAATATAGTGGCCAATACACATGGAAAGATGCACCCAGAAGAGTGGAACAGGGAATCCCAATCAAACAAAGGCAGGAAATATGGTTCTTGTTTCTAACCAGTGCCTTGGCTCAAGCAATGAAAAACAGGGAAGGGAAAACAAGTGAGCTGCTTGGTCAGGAGGTAAGTGGAGGAAACACAGGTCATCCTGTTATTGGCCACAGGGCTGGAGCCACCCAGCAACTGCCCAGCAGGAACTGAAGATGCTTTACCATACAGCGCTGACCCTACATGAAAAATGGAAAAAGGAGATACCAAGAGGACCATCCCGTGTTCCTCCTTTACAGAGTTTCTGTGCTAAAAACATAAATATACACTTTGGGTCAAACTAGATGATTCAGAGAGTATGTTCTTAGAAGTCATGGATGTTCCTGCACTGTTACATTACATTCCAGTGACATAAACAGATAAAGAACATAAATAGGTTCTTTGTCTCATTACAGTAATCAACAAACTTCAAAGACAGAAAGAAAGAACACTATCATTTAATGATGTGAAGATCTTACTGCCCCATATTTAAACATGGATTCTATAACTGTTTGATTCTATAACTGTTTGATTCTTAACACCGTAACTGTGAACTGGCTTGGCTTCCTTTTATTTTTCTTTCCCCTCCCCCCACACTTCTCTTTCTGTTCTGCTTTATTAACATAAAAAGAGATTCCAAGTAGTCATTATCTCCTTTCAACTCCTTTAGGAAACAAGCTACTTAAGAACATGATCTTTGTTTTTGCTTTGTGAAGTGCCATGAACATTGATGCTGTTTAATAAAAAATAAAATTAATACAACTTAATTGCACTATTGACAACAGCCACAATAATCAAATCAGAGGCTTGGCAAATAAAATATGTTTCTGGAGAAGTCACGGACTATCTGCCATGTGCAACAATAATGGAAATGGAAAATTCC